TCTTTTCTTTTCTTTTCTTTTCTTTTCTTTTCTTTTCTTTTCTTTTCTTTTCTTTTCTTTTCTTTTCTTTTCTCCAGCTGAATCTTGCCCTCAGATGCCCTGCAAGAATGGTGGGACTTGCTTGAATCACTCTAATGGGACGTCTTCCTGCCTGTAAGTTTGCAAGACTCTAATTCCTGTTTTTCTTTTTGAAGAGTAGGGAGAAGGGAGATTCCCATCAGGGTTAAAATTGTATGACCAGCAGAAGCTCAACAGGTAGAGATTTCTCCCCTCAGTGATTCTGTGTATTGTACAGGAAACATTGCAGTTTTTGTCCATCATAAGGAGACAGAAGGTGAAGCCAAGCTGGGAATTCAATTCATGCCATTTCTGGTAAAAGCTGTGCAGACGGAATTGTTTTCTGCCCATTGTACAGCTGTGATCATGGAGCTACCATATATACTTGCATATAAGCCCATCTGCATATAAGCTGACCCTCACATTTTTTACCAGAATACTGTGAAAAACGCAGCACCTGTGGATGAGACCACACTCAAAATGTTTGTATGTTTTAATTTTCACAACTGGCTTATCCATGGATTACCCATTTTTCATGGTATGTTGATTAAAAATGTGAGGGTCAGCTCATCTGCAGTTGGGCTTATACGTGAGTATGTATGGGAAATACGGGTACTTTAAAAAAGTATTATCACATATACTTGCAGACAAGCTGAACCCAATTTGGGGGGTATATTTTGGCACCTAAAACTTTTGGCTTCTTTGCGAGTATATACTGTAATCCCAGTCTCTCTGGCAGCTAGAGCAAGGGAGATGGATTTGCACCCCTATTCACCCCTGACTCACTCAACTCTTCGGGCCTTTAAGTATGATCTCTTGCTCCTACCCTGCTTACAACTGCAAGCACCAATACTAAATAGGGTGTTTACTTTAGTTTTGGCTTGACTGACCTGACCTGAGACACCCCTTGCAGTAAGGCAGAATGCGGTTAGGCTAAGGTTGTGTAAATACAACCCTTGTGGTTTAGAAGCCATGCTTCTTGGAATAGCGTTATGTGCAAACCGGCACAGCAGCAAACCCTGATTAGCAGGGCATAGTGCGATGTACTGAGACCCTCTGCAGGCTTAGAGGCTTTCAATTAGAATTTCCCATACAGGTTAGGTAGTCCTTGGTTAACGACGGCATTTGGGATCAGAATTGCTGTTGCTAAGTGATATGGTCATAAAGTGCGACGTCACATGGCTGTGCCACTTAGCGATGGCAGTTCTGGCAGTCCAATTGCCATTGTTAAGCAAGGACTGTGCAGGTCATTAAGCAAGGACCTCACATGACCGCGACTTCTGACTTCCTGCCGGCTTCCCCATTTGACTTTGCTTGTGGGAAACTGGCAGGAAACGTTGGAAGTCACAATCACATGACCGTGGGACACTGGGATGGTCAGAAATCTGAGGACTGGTTGTAAGTACCACTAATTCAGCGCCGTCGCAAGTTTGAATGGTTGCTGAAAGAGTGGTCATAAGTTGGGGACTACCTATAGTTACCTTGATACTCTCCATCCTAGCTCCAGATTGAATCCAGATCTTCAAAAACATTGTGTTTCAAACCAAGCTTTTTTTTTTTTGCCTTCTCTGTTTCCTTCCCATTTTCTGACTGCCACAGGTGCCCTCCTGGCTATGTAGGAGACACGTGCCAGTTTGCAGATCCCTGCACCCCTGTGCTTTGCCAGAACGGGGGCACCTGCTCGTCCAGGGCTCTGCCTCCCTCAGCTGCCCCCGAGTACATATGTGTGTGCCCTCCTGGTTTCACTGGGGAGAAATGCCAGGGAGTGGTTGGCGATCCCTGCTTCCCATCACCCTGCCAACATGGAGGAACATGCCAGCGGGTTTCTGGGAAAGACCATCAATGCCAGTGTCTGTCAGGATGGACAGGTAAGGCAGGGGATCAGATGGGAACCTTGGAATTGCCCCAGGCTGTGCATTGCCATGCACATAAAAAACCCACAGAGCTTTGATTGCCCCACCGTGGTCACCATCTTGACTTTTTTTGACCATACGCTGCCAACACTCCTAAGTTCTCCTAGAGTTTGTGGAAAGAGAGTTCACTTTAGAGGGACCGTTTGATTTATTAGTCTGATTTCTAGGCCACCGAACTCCCAAAATTGACTCTGGGTGGCTTCACAAAATTAAAAACAGAAAAAAACCCAACATTCTGTGTGTCAATCATCCCCTACAATAGACCCATCACCGCCAACCTAAAAGGGCCTGCCAGACCCCCTAACCGAGGCCCGAAGAAGAACTGGGATTTTGGAACCCGGTTGAAGGCGGGTGGTTTGGGGGCTGAATGAGACTCTGGGCAGAGGCTGTTGCAGAGCTCGGGAGACGAAAGGACGGGAGAAACTCTGCCGGAATGTGGCATCCGGCTCTCACTGATGGTCTCGGGCCAGGGGAGAAGGGAAGTCCCCCTCCAAAGAGATCCAATCCTCTGGCCAGCGAGGCACAGCCTCCTCCCCTTCCCCCCCCCTCTCATTCCCGAGGACCAACTCTGTCCGTGGGACTTTGGTGGGCAGATGGACATACTTACTCCTTCCCCTCTAAGGGCGGGTCTTCTCCTGGAAGGGCTCCTGGAGAATTGTCCCTTCCTCTGGAGAACTTCAGGCCAACACTCATCCAACTCCCTGCCGGAAATTGGGCAGACAGGCTGGGGGGGCAGATCCCAGAAGGAGGTCCCCAGCTGGGGCCTTTTCAGCTCATCCCGTTCCCTCCAGAAGCCAAAAGGATCCAGACAAAGGCATTGCCAGGCATGTATGCATGTAAGTGTGTCTGTATGCGGGGGTTTTACACACACACACACACACACACACGCTCATATGTAGGGGCCTATGTTTTATATACGTGTCTGTGTTATACATGTGTATATCTATCCACGTATGCTCATACATATGGGCTTGTGTTTTATATATGTGTATGTGTATCTATATATGTTCGTATATACAGCTGCATGTGTTTTATATGTGTGTATATTATAGGTGTGTATCCGTGTATGCTCATGTGTATGAGTGCATGTGTTATGCATGCATGTGCATATACACGTGTGTGTGTGTGTGTGTATGCATGGGTTTTAGCAGTACTTAGCCCCTCTTTGCTAAGTACTGAGCAAAGTACTTCTCCCCAAAACTGAGTCAGAGCCGGTTAGTCCTTGGAGGGGAGCCCGTAAGGAACTCCCCGGCTGTAAATCAGATGAGGAAGTGGATCGAGCCTCCTGGCCAAAGGCAGGGTCCGGTCATTTCCATATCGCTGCAAGAAAACCACATCGGCCTCTTCGTCAGAAATGAAGCTGGAGGTGAGAGCAGCTTCACTGTTATAGACAGAGAGAGAGATTGGAGACGGGTTGGGGGCAGCTGGGTGAGCTCTGCCATAGCTGGGGATACAGATCAAATCCCCTCCGCCCCACCCCGGCAGGATCCAGCCAGGCTGCCCTGTCACAGCTGCAAACACCACGGCCACCACTAGAGGGAACAACCTGAGTTTGCCCTCCTCTCGGGATCACCCAGATTTTAAAATCTTGTATTATGTTCGGTGGTCTCATTTAAGGTTTTCAGTGTTTTCTTCTTTTTTCTATTTGCGGTTTTCGTGTTTTTCCTTTTAGTTCATTAACACGCCAATCTCAGTTCATGAAGGTTCTTTTCTCTTTTTTCCCTTGACCCACAGAAATGCAGTTTTTTTTCTACGTGTGGGTTTATTTTTCACTTTGGTCCTTCTGTAGTTGCTTCCCCGTCCTTTAAAAGGCCTTAGATCTCCTTCCGAGGAAGGCAGCTACTTACTCAATTGGGCAGCTTAAAACTTGAAGCTTGTTTTTCTTCCTCCCTTTCTTTTTTTACAAGATACTCATATCCGTAGAGTCCTTGGGGTTCTCTGAGCTTGGTTCTTTCCTTGCCAACGTTTCATTACCTAGGTTACCTAGCCGGGTAATGAAACGTTGGCAAGGAAAGAACCAAGCTCAGAGAACCCAAGGACTCTACAGTTCAACCCTGAGCTACACATATTCACCTCTATTGATACTCTATCGATACTCCTATCCCTTTGTGTGAAAAAGTTCTTTTATCTGGAAGATGGGTTCATCGCAACTGCATCAGCGGGAACTCTGCTAGGGTTGTAGTAACTTTGATATCAGCCTTCAAAATTTGTAATGGAGCCAGAAAGAAGCGGTCCAGAGTGATATTCTTTTAGTATTGTTGATTAAATGTTTTAACAACCGCATTCATTCATTACGAGGGCCATATTAAGGATCACCCAGAGAGCTTACATAGGAATTTTGAATATCTTTTTAGTTTAGCTGCGGATGAGAGAATTACTGCTGGAGATGTGAACCAAGTTTTAAATGCTGTGTTAGTTCTAATGCTATTCCAGCTTATTTTAACTCTTGTACGTGAAAATCCTACCATTTGCACGTTGAGTTTGATTTGGTGACACAGGGCAACTCTTGACAAGAAGAATATAATTTTTTCACTTTCACATCAGACCTGTTTCAGATGTGATCTTGGTCCTAAATTGATTAAATAGAGAAATTATTATTTATCTATTATCCAGAGATACGGATGGCGCCAACCCTGTTGGCCTTCAGTAAAGCCATGGCTTCTCCCCTAGACATAGGAGCCATGGTGTGGTTGATGGACAAATGCAAGTTTTACTGAGGCCTCAACATGGTTTAAAAAGTTTTTTTGCTTTCATTATATTGTGGTTTTGATTCCTGTTCATTGTTTTGGTAGATGGGCAGCTATATAAGTTTGGGTATGTGTGTACACACACAATGTTATTAAAGATTTTTAAAAGGAAGATAAAAACGAATACAAACTAATACAAAATAAGAAAAAGAAAAGAAAAAGAAAGAAAAAAGAAAGTTAAAAGTGCAAGAGAAGGAAAAAAAGTAAAAGAAAAATAGAAAAGAAAGGAAAGGAAAAAGATACAAAGAAGTAGCTTCTGATCTTCTTTACAGCAGTTATAAATACAATTATAAGTTTAGCTCTTGCTCTATGGTTACAACATAACTCTCTTCTTTCTATAAATCTATCCTGTCTAATCAACAAATCCGTAAATCATAAGTTCATTTTTTTCTGTTTCACAGAAGTAGGCTGTATAAGTTTGTTTAATAAATAAATAAGTATTTTCAGGGGATATTTAACTTGATTTACACGGCTGCTGTATTCACCAAAATGATTCAGCAAATGAACTTTAAGAACGAAAACAATAATGTATATAACTGTAAGAACCCATAATACCCAATAATAATACATAATTAAAGAGAAATGGCAGCCAAGAATAAAAACATTACAAATACCGTGAACGTCAGCCACTTTCTGACCCCCAGGCCTGGGCAAACCTCCAGATATTAATCACTTTCTGAAAGGCCAACAGAGTTGGCATCAATCTGATCTTTGGGGTTAAGGTGCTTTTGGGCAGAAGCCGTGCCAGAAAAGGTACCCACATAAGATTGGTCCTATTGCAATATCCAGTTATGTTCCGGTAACGTGGCCAGTTGTTGCAAGATTCTTTCAGCGCAGATAGGGTATCCCTGACAGTAGGAACGGTGATGATCTCCCACTCATCTGGGGGTTTCCTGGAAGTCATGGGCTGACAGTGGTTCGGAAGAAGATGCTGGAGGAGCTTGACCGTTGACCTCCCAGGCTGGAGGAGAAGCTGGGAACCATGCTGACTCTGATTTCTGTTCCAGGGAAGAACTGCCAGTTGATGGATTTCTGCCCAGCCAACCCTTGTGCCAACGGTGGGACGTGTGTCATCACCTACCCTGTCATCGTCTGCCAGTGCTGGCCAGGCTTCGAAGGCCACACCTGCCAGCATGACATCAACGAATGTTTTGGGTCCCCCAGCCCCTGCCTCAACGGCGGCAGCTGCGTCAACAGCATCGGCTCCTTCCGCTGCTTCTGCCCGCCCAACTTCACCGGTCCTCTCTGCCAGTACCAGCTGGGGCCTTGTTCCCCGGAGATCTGTCTCCACGGGGGCACCTGCCATCACGTCGATGAAAGATACCACGGCTGCCTCTGCCTGCCAGGGAATTATGGTTCTTTGTTATTAGCGTTGTTGTCACCCTTGCTGGCTATAAGGCATTGTGGCCGTACCCCAAAGCCCCCAAAATGTAGTTTAAGACACCCAAGGAAGGAAGTGTGGATGGAAGCTTTTTCTCAAAGATCAAGCCAGAGGAAAAGTGGGATTCTGAAGGGAGAGCAAGTCACTGTTCAGGAGCTCCAGGGGAGAAAACTCTTCTCCATTTGCCCAACGATTGGGACTCTGGATGGGGGAGGTCTTGAGTGCCATCCCCTCCAGTCCACTGCCCACAGTCTTTAGTAACCAGGCATGTTCATAGTGAGACAGGCTGCATCTAAGCTATTAATTCAGGCTGCAGATGGCAGGTTGGTGAGATTAAATGTTCCTCCTCCTCCTCCTGTTCTTCTGAATATTTTTGCAGCATAGCATCTTGTGGCAAGTCAGCTTATTTGTCATAATTAATTCAGTAACCACATTGAGTGCACTGTGTAAATGCAACCATGGTTCTTTTCCCCCCCACACTTTTCTCCCAAAATTTGTCCCAGAAAGGGTGGGACTGATTTGTTTACCCCTTTATTTCAAACCAATGCCTTGAATTGAGCTAGCCCCCAAAACAACTGATGTCATTACTGTTAGTGGTGCCAGTCTGTAGCCATGATTTAGAAAGTTACCGCCCCCTTCCACATTTCAGCCACCACAGCAATCCCCAGTAGCACTTAGCTGTACAGGTAGTCCTCGCTTACTGACCATCTTGTGCAGCAACCGTTCAAAGTTACAACGGTGCTGAAAAAATAACTTTGCGACCAAGGGCCACATTTATAACCTTTGCAGTGTCTCTCTCTCTCACTCACGTGTTTGTCATTAGTCAGTTAGTAGGTGCTGTCCTGTGGCTGACCTTTTTTTTTTTTATTCTCCCCTCGGAGAGAAGAGAAATTGGAGAGGAAGGGATTACAAAAGAATAAGGAGGTGCATAATGGAGAATACCCCTGCTGTTTCCCTATGGTACTCATGGTTCCCAGCCCCGAGCGCATAGGCAAACAGCCAGCGCCAGCACATTCCTTTCTTTTTCTTTTTCTTTTTCTTTTTCTTTTATTTTTACAACAAACACAAAACATACATGGACAAACAAAACCACAAAAAGGCATAAAAAAAAGCATCTTCCATTTTATAGCGTGTGTCAACCAGTTACCAACTCGTTGGTGCCCC